TTTGGAATACTGCGTGCAATTTTGGTTTCCCTGGCATAGAAAAATTGTTGTTAAACTTGAAAGGGTTCAGAAAAAAATTGCAAAGATGTTGCCAGGATTGGAGGGTGTGAGCTATATGGAGAGGCTGAATGGGCTGGGGCTATTTTCCTGGAGCATTGAAGGCTGAGGGCTGACCTTATAAAAGTTTACAAAATAATGAGGGGGAATGGATAAGATGAATAGTCAAGGTCTTGGAGAGAGAAGGTTTGAACTTCTTTGAATGAAATTTATGAGAAGAATGATCTGCTAAATGCTTTGAGCTATGGTCCGACCTTGTTAGATTTTGGAAAATGGTTGGTCATTCTATGAAGCAATACATCATTGACTTTAACAGCTTGCATAACAGATTGAAAATATTCAATTTGGGGAAATTTGGATTGGTATTGGTGTTTTAAAATGTTGGATTGTACTAACCTATCCCAAATTGACAAGTTCCTGTTTCTAATTGCTGTTTGGTCCTCGAAGAAGGAACAGGTTGGATCAGCTGTCTCTTTTCTTGAATAAAATTCTATTCATCTTCCAGTGAACAAATGGAAACATCATTGGTGACCCAGAGGATAGAGGTTTGACTGCCAGCTTTTAATTGTTCAAGATATCATTGAAGGTATCTGTATAATGGAGGAATTAAATAAGTATAGAAGTGAAAGCAGTTTTTGCAGATCTGCCTTTTATGACAGAAAACAGAATTGGTATAGCAATAACAGATGCATTAATCCAAAGTAACAGTCAATGTTCACATCATCCATGATTTGAAATATGATTATGAAGTAAACTTCTCAAAGTCGAGAGATGAGGAATCTGGAGGCCTCAAATGGCTCATCCTGTAGACAGTTCTGGGGCAGTGGGTTATGAAACATTATATATCAATCACAAGGAATTTTAGTCCTGTGGCGGATGTGTTTGTAAACTGACTCATTTTAACATTTTAGTGCTATATTAGGCTTGAATTCCAACGATATATGGAACAGATTTGTTAAATTTGTTATCTTGATTTGGTAAGTAGTGGGAAATTGACACAAAGTTAAGAAATATAAAAAGTATTAGCTTTGTGTTTGGTGATTAATGTATATTCAGGTTACGAAAAAGAGTTGTACTTCAATGTAACATAGTTGGAGTGAGCCATTTTATAACCACAAATGTAGTCTGTACTGTGATACCTATGTCATTAAGTAAACTTTTTTTACAAAAAGTATGCAACTAAACTTAAAGCATGATGAGGCTGTTAATTTTGGAAAGACTGTCAATCTTCACTTTGCCGAGCTGCGATATTATTGTAACTCTTAACAAACCCTGATGGTTTTTATCAATGTTAGACAAGTAGTAATGGAAATTGGATGATTGATATCAGAGAAGGGAAACAAAGGCAAATTATCTTCAAGTTGCATACATGATGTGACTGATTTTGACAATTTGCACATTCTCCTTGTCAAAAGGTGAAAATCCTACTAAAAGTGATGGGTGTTGTTAATGAAGATATACCAGACTAACAGAAGAGATCAGTGGGAAGTGTAAACTTTTTGGACATGTTGTAGGATGCCATCCCATCCTTTTGTAAGCCTTTGATTAGCATGTAATTTTAATGAGATAGTTGTCGTTGATCTAAAGACATGGGTCACAAATAGATTTCTAAAGGAGGGGAATTGCACAATTTAATGCTTTGTACAGAATTTGGATATTTTGATTCAGTTGGTAATGAAATTGTCACTGTGCATTATAATAATATTAATTTAGAGTGAGATGAGAATCTGCTGATAGAAGATATATCATGCTTAATTTAATGCAGCCGGTGGACAATCACTTGACCCCCTATAAATTGGCAAGCTGTTGGTTATGAAGTGCATGTTTGTTATACAAAGAACAAAGAACAAAGAAAATTACAGCACAGGAACAGGACCTTCGGGCCTCCAAGCCTGCACCGATCCAGATCCTCTATCTAAACCTGTCGCCTATTTTCCAAGGACCTGTATCCCTCTGCTCCCTGCCCATTCATGTATCTGTCTAGATACATCTTAAATGACGCTATCGTGTCTGCCTCTACCACCTCTGCTGGCAACGCGCTCCAGGCACCCACCACCCTCTGCATAAAGAACTTTCCACGCATATCTTCGTTACATGTTGGAGTACAAGAATAAAGGAGTCTGCTGCAATAAAATGAGGGTTTTGTGAGAGCATGCCTGGGATTTCTTGTACAATTTTGGTGTCTGAATTTCAGAAAGGATATACTTGCTTTAGAAGAGGTGCAATGAAGATTACCGGAATGGCAAGATTGACTTATGGGGAGAGATTGAGTATAGAGGGCCTGTACTCTAGAATTTGGATGATAAGCAAATTTTATTGAAGTGTAAAATTTTCAACCAGCTTAACAAGCTAGATATTGAGATATTGTTTTACCCTGGCTGAAATGTCTGGAACAGTCAGTATCAGGATAAGGAAATTGCCATTTCAGATTGAGATGAAGAGAGATTTCACTGCATGTCATAAATCTTTGGAATTTTTTTTTATAGAATCCCTACAGTGTGGAAACAGGCCATTCAGCCCAACAAGTCCACACCGCCTCTCTGAAGAGCATCCCACCTTGACTCATTCTCCTACCCTGGCATTTCCCCATGTCTAACCCACATAACCTAAACATCCCTGGACACTACGGGCAATTTAGCATGGCCAATCCATCCACCCTGCATAGCTTTGGACTGTGGGATGAAACCGGAGCGCCCTGAGGAAACCCACATAGACATGGGGAGGATGTGCAAACTCCACACAGACAGTTGCCCAAAGGTGGAATTGAACCCGGGTCCCTGGCGCTGTGAGGCAGCAGTACTAGCCACCGTGCCGCCCTTTATCCCAAAATCTCTGGGTGACCCATTAATGACTATATTCAAGGCTGAGCTGAACATTCTGACAAGAATCCAGGAATGTGAGGCCAAGGATCGGCAATGAACTTACTAAATAAAACAACAGCTCAAGACCTACATACCGCCTCCTTTTGTTACTATTATGTTTTAATGCCTTGGGTCAGTTAGTCATGCAGCCAGTTTGTTCAGTTGTGAGTGAACCTTCAGTAACAGCCCAGCTGTGGCACAACCATATTTCTGTTTATTGACAGACTCCAAGCATGGTGGTCTTTATGGTCGTCTGGACAGCCCTCAGGTTGTGTCCCAACCTCTGCCTAACCACAGCCTTATTTCAGTTAATGTCTCACCTGAAAGCTGTCACTACTGATGAGACTGTCTCCATTGCACTGAAATGCCACCTAGATTATGTGCCCAAATCCTCAGGATTTTTTTTTAACCTTACCAGAATGAGCTCACTACATCACCATTGCCCTCCTGTAGAGCTTGAACCTACAGAATATGCACTAAATATCTGGCTTGGGCAGATAAGTAGTAAGTAGCATCACAGGTGCAAGGCAATGACTATAATTCTTAACATTGAAAAGTGTGAGAAGGTTAGCTTTAGACCAGAATGCCTGGGTTCATGTCTTGCCTGGTCCAGAAGTGTGCCAGAACATGAAAATTAAAAATAGAAGATAATAGTTCAGGTCATTCTAATAATTAATCAAGAAAATTTGCCATTCATCTAGTGCTGGATACAAACAACAGGACAGTGGAGATAACAAGAATATTGTTAATGTGGTAGAACTGCATGTCATCAAAATACATGTTGAACCTGATGTCATGAATATGGATATTTTGCCAAGGGTAAGCATGTAAATAATTATAGGAACATGAGTTATAGGAGGGGAACAAAGATGGGTCCTTGAGGAAATGGTGCACTGAGAGAGAGGAAATATTGCTGAAAATTTTCTGGTTATGATTGGTAGGAAGAATGGAAATAGGTAAAGGGCATCCTATTCAACTGTGCAACTGAAGAGAGGCATTGGAAATAAATATGGTTAACTACGTGTAAAACTGCATAGAAGTTAAATAGCATGAGGAATAATAGTACACCTTGGTCATGTCCGCAAAGGAAATAATATCTAGAGTACTGTGTACAGTATTGGTCATTGTATTTAAGGAAGGAAGTAAATACACTGGAGGCATACCAGAGAAGGCTTTCTAGACTAATACCTGGAATGGGTGAGTTGCCTTAGGAGGAAAGTTTGGATAGGCTAGGCCTCTTAACTGCTGGAATTTAGAAGAATAAGAGACAACTTGATTGAAACTCATGGGATCCTGAGGGGCTCAGATCAAGTAAATGTGGAGAGACTGTTTCACATTAAGGCTCTTAAGGGTGAATCCAGCCTTAGAGGTCATTTTAAAAAATCAGGGGTTAGTCCTTTAAAACAAAGATTAGGCAAAAATATTCTGGGATGAGTGAGTCTTTGTAACTCTCTCTTTCTGAAAAGGTGTTGGAAGCAGAGTTTTTGCATGCTTTTAAGATGTGGTCAAATGGATTCTTGTTAAGCAAAAGGTTCAAAAGTTATCAGGATAAGAGGGAATTCAGATTTGAGGTTACATACCTGGTCAGTTATGACCTTCTCGAGTAGTAGGACAGACTGCATGTCCTCGTCCTAACCCTGATTTGTATATTCATGTTTTATAGTTTGATTAGGACCAATTCACTGTTATGGCAGGAAAGGTCACACATTAATGTTATGGGAAAATCTGAGTAAATTAAGGGTAAATTTTGCATTGTTTAAAGATTTTTTTCATGCATCTTATCTTAACTACAGTGATTATTATTTGCCACATTCATGGTAAGTAATTTTTAGTATTAATGCAGAAGTTGGCCCAGATTGAAAATAATTGATTACATTAATCATTTGATTGAAGTCTGTACAAACTGATTTTGCTGAAGGTAGGGATTATGACTTTGAGTAAAGTTAAATTGTCAGAAAATAGGACTAATGCCTTCAATGACCTCTTGCTTAAGTGATAGCCTCATAGCAGTAAAGTATGTATTCATTAGTACTGATACTGCAAGTACTCATTCATTGTGCAATGACTCCTTTCTTTAATTAGGTTTTTGTTGCTGCCCAGGCTATCTTTATGACTATAGTTGGAGCGAGGGTACCTTATCACTGGGACTTTGAAAACATTTCACCTGGTCCAAGCCAGAATAACATTTCAATCAATCAGAATGAGGTGTTTAAGCACTGGCTTCACATGGTGAATAAGTCTGAGATTCAAAGACATGTGCATTTTGATGCTGGTTCCTCATCTGTTATCAGAGAGGTAGGTAGGACGTTTAAAGAATGATTACCTCATTTGAAATTTATGTTAAGTCAGTAAATCTATGATGAAACCTTCGGGGTATGTGAAAATGGGACTCTGTTTAGTTGTATTGAAATGAGCTATCGCACAAGGTCTGGAACAGAATTTGAGTTCTCTATTCTAGTTGAAATAATGTCAATGATCAGGAACTAGAAGTCTTTTGGCCATAGGATCAGAAGGAAAAATAGCAGAAAAACTATTCTTTCAACTCCTTGATCCTACACAGCCATTCAACCATTCAGTGAGATGACCGCTGATCTGATTCTTAACATGATTCCGCTTTACTGCGCCCTATACCTATAATTTTTGTCCAAATCGGTGGTGAATGTATTTAATGCCCCAGTCTTCACTGCTATCTGGGAGGAAATTTGCAAATGCTAATGACGCTTTGCGAGAAAAAAAGTTCTGCAGGTTCCAGATAAACTGTGCCCAGTTCTAGATTCCCACAAGAGAGTAAGCATCCTTTTAGCATTTGCCCTTTTGAGCGTCCTGAGAATCTTTTCTTTTCAATAAGATTTAGAATGAATAAATTACAGTTTGAACTATTCCTCATTGACATATTTGCTGTACTTTGACAGTGGTTCCTCATTGGAGATGCTTCATACAAAATTTTTTTGGCCAGTTCAGTATATTTCTTTGGTGTCCTGATTGGTGTAATCATCTTTGGGCAACTTTCTGATCGGTTTGGAAGGAAGAACGTTTACTTAACAGGTATGGATATTGAAGGAACAGTATTTTTTTTTATCAATGTATTGACATAAAGTAATTCAATATGAATTAAGAACACAAAAACATTCTGTTTAATTGGGGAGTATCATCAAAGATATGTCAACTGACCATCCATTTTGGTGCACTGCAACAGTGAAGATTTCCCCTAATTTTGTGAATATGTGTAAAATAGATGCATAAAAAATAGGATAGAAGTAGCCTTTATGACCCCTTAAGCCTTGTATCATAGATTTTTGGACTCTAAGGAAATCAGTTAATTGAAGACTTCAATTTCTTTTAACAACTGACCATCTAGAAATTCTCCTTTTGGTCTGAAACAGCTGTCAGTTTATCCTGAGACCACTACTCCTACTTCTAGAATCTGCAGCAAGGGAAATCAGCCTTTCTCTTTTGCCCTGTCATATCCTCTTAGAATGTTATGTTCTTTAAAAACACTTGCCATTTTTCTAAACTGCAGAGAATATTGGCCAATTGTGGGTTCTTTAAATGCTCCTCTCATTCTTCTAAACTCCAGACAATATTGGCCAATTGTGCTACATCTCTTCAAATGGAACTAGTCTGTTGTTCCAGGAAACCATCAAACAAACGTTCACTGCTCTTTTTTTTGAAGGCAAGAATATCCTTCCTTGAGTATGAAGATCAAAACTGGAATTCATATTCCAGATTTGGTTGCATCAAGACCCTGTGCAATTGCAATAAGACATCCTTATTCTTGAACTCCAACGTCCTTTCAATAAAGGCTCAAATACCATTTTCCCTCCTAGTTGCTTAATGTGTCTGTGTTCTAATTTGTGCTTTTTGTGTATGGGCATCCAAATCCCTCTGAACACCAACATTTAATGGTTAACTCTCCATTTAAACAAGAAACATCATTTCTAGTCCTCCTACCAAAATAAATAACTTCACATTTCCCTGCATTATACTCCATTTGCAATTGCCTTATCCTCTCAATATGCAATTTATAATTCTTTGCAGACTCTTGTCCCCCTGACACCCAATGTTCCCAACTAACTTTTGTGTTGCTGGTAAGCTTGAATACATTGCATGTTCATTTCATCAAAGCTGCTGAAATAGATTCTAAGCTGATAATTCTGAGTCTGATATGACATTTTGCGAGTGCAATCTGACTCCGAAGAATACCGAAATATCGCAAAGAAGAGTCATACCATACTCAAAAAGTTAATTTTGTTTCTCTGTCTACAGATACTGAAAAACCTGCTGAGTTTCTTCAGCAATTTCTTTTATATTAGCTGGTGGTGTAAATCCTACCTGCAAATGGTTTCTTGGTCAAAGGCAGATATATAACAAGTATTTGGAAGTTCCCAAATTATCAGTTTCAGAGGAAAATATAGTGAGGACACTGAAATAACACAGAAATTGATGATGCCGCAATAGAAATTGTGCAAAGGTCATTGCATATAGAGTCCATATATCAGGGTTAGGGAATACCTTAAATAATAAGTAATCTCTTTTAGAAGAATAAATAGAATAATGGAAGGTTCATGTTGAGTTTAGTTAGAACAATAACACTAAAAAGATTGCATATAGCAGTAGTATAGATAATTGCTGTGTCCTTGATGTATTGAAGATAGTTGTATACAGTGTCATGGATAAAAGGAAGAAGTGAATTTACTTATTTCTACTGGTTGTTTGGTCTGTTAGTGACAGGTGATTTTGATTTTTTTTCCCCTCATTCATAATAGGCTATGCTGTGTTTCCCCCAAACTTTCTGTTTGTGAAGTCCAATTTTTAAATGACCTGCAACAAACTTTCTTTTCTAAGAAGTACAGAAAGTGCTGGTGATACTCAGCAGGTCTTTGGAGAGAGAAACTGTTAATATTTCCAGTTCATTAATATTCTTCTTTGGAACTTTCTTTAGGGTTAAAACAAACAAGGGATGGCTTATTCAAGCAATCAATTTGGTGAATGATTTGCAACACATGCACTCTCACAGAAGTATACAAGAAAAAAAGAAAGGGAAAGGAAAGAAGTTATAAATAGAAATTTTAAAAATAAAGCTATCAGCATTAATTTGCATATGTTAGAACCCAGTGAGTTAATGTCCAATGATAGTTTGCAATTGGCTGATTCGGCAAAATTATATTTGTAGAAATGTGTGGAATTGCAGTTGAAGGCGCAGCAGCATGATTTCTGTAGTCGAAAATGTGTTCACTTTTCAGGTGAAGTAAAGGATATTTCCAGAAGTCAAATTTTGAGAGTTTGAGACTAGAAGCGTGCTGTACCTAAACCTGGAGCTGCTTTGTTGACTATACTGGTGTAAATAGCTAACTAAGGAATGGTATAATTTAAAGCTGTTCAAAAAACAGTTTCAGTTAGGTCACCAGGCTTCAGGGTGTCATTTTAATGAACAAGATGGTGTTGATGCAGCTGGTCAACAACCATTGTGTGTTGAGGCAGATAAAATATGAGGTCATTAGTACCATCTCAGACTTTCAATGTTCTTTCTTCAGAATAGGCTGGGTTAGACATCTCATCTGTGATTCTTTTTTCTGTTGTCTTGACTGGAGTGTCTACACAGTGCAAGGACTGTGGCTTTGTTATAACCAGACCCAGTTCCCCAATTCATTACATTTCTAGATGGAATACTGCAACTGTTAAGCTCCCAGCTGAGGTAGGACGGACTGGGTCCGCTTCTATGTCCCCTTGTTAGTTGATTGCAACGAGCATAATATTAGAAAGGTATTCACAAGGGAAAAGTCCTTTCTTCCAGACCCAAATAAGCTTCTGTTTTAAAAGAGCCAAATTAATTAGACATTCTTGAATTAACAAAAGGAGTGCTTTATTAATTAGCAAATGTAAAAAGAATTAGCAACACAATACACAAATATACAGATTGGAAATGAGGTAAGTCCAAAAAGAAGCATACAAAGGAGTCTCTGATTGTTTGTGAAGAGCAGATAATTGAGCATTGTGGCCCTTGCAGTGGCAGTTACCAATAACATTGACCTTGATAGTTGAACAATTGTTTTTTGAAGTTCTTGGCTTCGTAGCCTGATTGAAGTTCGTTTTGACTGAATCTTAAGCACGTTTTTTGGCTAGATCTGAGTTGTGCAAGGTTTTGGTTGTCTTTGTGCTCTGAGGCCTAGCTGGTTTTCTTGCCATGTCTTACCAGACTCACCACGTTAATTATCTACCTACCCAATGGTGTCCCTTGATGTGCGATTTCCAGCCCACTGTGTGTCACTCTTGAAATAACTTGCAACTCAGCGGTTATTTGCTAGAAGGCTGGAATCTGTTTCATTTAAGCCTTATGTAAAAGGCTTCTGTGCACCTGGACGAGCACTGGCATTTTGAAATATTATCTATTATCTAAAGGGGTTTTGCCCCTTAAAGAGAGTGGGTCAGGTGACCTGGTGTGGGAGCTGGGGGAGGCAGTCTAGGGACTGACTGTAGTGTTGAGAGGATGCACAATTTTACCCTCAAGTTTATCCTCCGTCTACCTTGTGTTCTACTTATGGTTCAAGCGAACCACGACCGCATTAACAGGTGATGAGAGTGGGATTCGGCCCACAAACTGTTTTTTTTTGCCAGGATTAAACATGTCGACTGGACGTCAAAAATGGCATGGAATTGTGGAGATGGCTTTGAGGGAAGCAGTCGCAAGGGGTTTAGGGCTGCACTTGATGCCAGGGAAGAATGGTACATACTGGGGAGCAAGCCGAGAGTGGCAGTTGTGAGGGGATTTGGGCCGCGGCCAGTGGCTGGGAATTATCAACTGGGAGCTTCCTGCAGTTGTCGCAGAAAGCGGTTGCGAGGAAGCTCGGGCTGTGGATGACACCAGGGAAAAATGGTGTGCTAACATAGTCAGTGAGGGAGCGGCCGGCAAAGGGAATATTCACCAAAGGGACACAGGCTGTGAATTTAGAGGGTTCCTCTATGACGCCTTGCTGGACTGTTTGATTTGTGGCCTCTGACATACAGCCATCCAATGGAAGCTACTAGGAAGGAGAAACCTGGATTTCAAGGCAGCGTTCGAAATTGCTGCCTCGATGGAGTTTGCTACCAGCAAAGCAACACAGTTGAGTGACGATGCCTGTGTGCATATAGAGTAGTAAAAACTCAGCAGAGTGCAGTACCAAAAATAGAAAGTTGCCAATGTGGTAAGAGTGGCCCCAAGGAGTCAACATGTTGGACTTGAGAAGCCCAATGTTGCACGTGTAAGGAACGGGCCATATTGTCTGAAATTGCTGGGTACAACTCAAGCAAGAGAAGGGGTGTCTAAAAGAGACAATTCAGAGGACAAGACATACAGTACATGCTGCCAGCCAGGGAGTGGACCAAGAGTCAGCCGGGTCTGCGGGAGGAGAACACCCAGAGTCAGTAGAGTTTTAGTTAAATGTCCTGCGGGTACAGGGTGAAGCTGATCGTTTCTAGGTTCTTCCCAAATTAGAGAGTGAGATAATAAAGATGGAAATGGATATAGTACAGCGGTGTCTCTGATTCCCGAATCAATGTATCGGGAAAAGTTAAAGGTGCTGCTGTTGAACCCTGCCAAGATTGCACTATAGACACAAGCAAAACAAGTGGTACCACTGAAGGGCTATATACTAGTAAAGCACAGCTAAGGGACCAGTATGCCGAACTGCCACTGTATGTATTGAAAAACTACCACCTTGCATTATTTGGATGCTCATGGTTGCAGAAATTAAACTTGGTGCGTGGTTACAAAAACAAGTTTGCAAAAGATTTTGGACAGACATAAGAATGTCTTCAAGGGAGCCTTGGGGAAATGAAAGGAGTAGAAATTAAACCTCAGTTGAAGTGGGAGGCTTGACTAAGGAGTCTTAAAGCACAACCAGTACTGTACACCATCCAGCATAAAGCAGAGGAATTAGAATGGCTGATGAACCTGGGAGGGTTGGAACCAGTAACCACAAGTGATTCGTCCACTATAATCATCCCAGCCTTAAAAATAGATGGCGTGGTGGGGATTGTGGTGACTGTTCAGTGGACTGGCTGGG